GCCCCTCCCCTTTCAACCACAGCCAGTCTGCTCAGGTCTGCATTATATACTGGAGTCTTAGCAGGATTTAAAGGATTAAGTGAACTCTGTTGAAAATTCTACAACACATTTGTAGGCAATGGAGACCGTGAAAGCCCCCTTGCGCCCCTCCTAAGAAGTGATCCCTGTACTGTCTGCATATTGTCTTCCAGCCTTTTGGGGCATAAACGAACAATCTGCTATTTATAAAAATGGGCTTATTCTGAAATAGCATTGTACAGCTTGATTTTTTTTTCATATTGTTATACATAGATGTGCCTCCTTCTGTCAAATGGCTGCGTGGCTGCGGAGTGTTCCATAGTATGGATGTGCTGTGTTTTGTTTAAACATTCCCTTACTGATAAACATTTAGGCCATTTCTTTTTTACTCTCACCAGCAAGGATGCTATGAGCATCCTTGAATATTTATATATGGGTGCCTATACTATCAATTCTGTAGGAGAAGCTCCTAGAAGTGAGATTTCTAGGTTGTAGGGTGTGTGGGTTTAAAACGTTATTCAATCTTCCCAAATTACCCTTCCAAAAGTTGAGCCAAATCCTCCTCCCTTTGCTGGTCCATGAGTGCTCATTTCCCCACATCCTTGCCAGCACTGTATGTTATCAATCATTTTAATTTTTCCCAGTCTGATGGGCAAAAAAATGATATCATGTCATTTTCATTTGCATTTCCCTGATTGCTAGTGAGATAGAACATCTTTTCATATGTTTATTGGCCAATTTTAGTTCTTCCTCTGTGGGTTTCTAATTCACTGCCAATTTCTCTCTTCTTTTGTCTTTTTTTCTTATTGATTTGTAGGGGCTCTTTGTATATTAGTGATATTTTCTCCCAGTGCCTTTTAACTTGGTTTATAGTGCGTTTGCTGTACAGATGTTTTTACATGTTTATGTAGTTGGATTTATCAAATTTTTTACTTTATGGCTTCTGGATTTAATGTCTGGCATGGAAGGCTTCCCCCACTGCATAAGATTTCATTTCAAATAAGGATTTTATTGCTGAGAAGTCTTTGCAAAGCCCTGGTTTATAGGCTCCTCCTGGCAGCTGCAGCTCTGGCTCTGGGGAAGGGAGGGATAGCCCCTTCTTCCCATGCATTTCATCTCTCTGTCTCCTCTCTGCTCTCTGGCATTGGAGTCACAGTTGCTCTGTCTTTCTTTAGATCTCCGTTTCCTTGTGTGTCTGCCCCCACCCCATTTCTGTGTCTCTGCTGTTTTCCCATCCCCAGCTGGTTCCCCACTGAGCAGAGGGAATTGGGATGGGAGACGGCGCTGTGGCAGCCCTCAGTGGGTTGGGACAGGATGGTGGCTGTTAAGGAACATGACCCTCTCATCCTCCACCTGCCAGCCCAGCCCTGTGTCACATGGGCTGGCAGGACAACCCCTGGTCCATTCCTCTCTCTTGGAGAAAGTCTTTTCCTGTTGGGAGGCTGGGGGCAGGCTCTGAGTTAACCCCCATCCCTCCTCCACCAGGAGGCCTTCCCCGATGTCTCCTTCCTCCCCTTCCGCATCCCTGGACCTGGCCCCTCCCTTCTGTCCTCACTGGTCTTGCCATGTCCTGCCTCCTCAGCACTGAACGACCTGGGGTCCACCTGGCCACCTCTCAGGGTCTCCGTTTCCACCTGTGTGGAATTGATCGTGGGAGTGTGTACCAGCTGCTGGGAGGCATGGCCCATGGGGTATACAGCAAAGTTGGTGTGTCTTTCAAGCCGAGCTCTGGAAGGTGTCCCCTCTTGCCCTCTCAGTAAAACCCCGCTGCAGTAGAGAATCTGTGTGCGCTGACAAAGATGGGAACTTGAAATCTACTAATGTGTTGGCTGGCGTCTAGGGCTCACTTGTTCTCTGCTCCACCCAGGCCCAGTGTTATGCCCAGCTCATGCAAGGTGCCCAGAAAAGCAAGAATGAACGAGGGAAGAGTGAACAATTCAAGAGGAGGCTGAGCCTGGGGGAGGAGGAGGGCAGTTAGGGCACCAGCTTTCTTTGAACTCCTTCTGTGTAATAACATGCTTTTGTCATGGTTGCTCATTTCTGGGGATTAGATGTGCTCATGGGGAATACCTCCATGACCTCCTGGAGGTGAGGGCCCCAGGTGGGCTCACTACTGTCCAACACTGGAGGCCTCTGTGTGGGAGTTTTAGGGGGCCATGCACTGAGGGAGCAGTTGGGAGACAAGCTGGGGACAGCCGGAGGTCTCTTTGATGCATGGCTCGGAAGCACATAACTCAAATCCCCACGATAACCTTCCCTGGGCTCCTGCAGCCCCTTGGATCTCTGTCCCAACCCCTTCCTCTGACCATGATTGCCTGTCTCCTCGCTGAGCTTCTAGCAGGCAGGGGCAGTGTCCTTCACCTCTCTATATCCCAGTCACCAAGGACAAAGTAACTGCTCAGCAAAAGTAGAATGAATGAATGAATGAAAGAAAACCCAGGGATATTGGGTAGAGTGGTTAGGTCTGGGAAAGAGGAGACCTGGGTTCTGGGCTTAAATTTTTGGCTGACTTGCTGGGTTGACCCTGACCCTCACTGAGCCTCAGTCTCCCCATCTGTACAATGGGTGTGGGCCTTTCAAACTTTGTGATTCTGTGACTGGGTCGACCATTATAGCCACATGTCTCTGTCTGTCTCTCTCTCTCTTACACACACACACACACGCACACACACACACACACATGCATATATACATACCAGTACCATTCTCTTTGATCACAGTGTTTGCTGAGCACTTACTGGGTTCCAGTCCCCCACAGTACTGAATCTACTTTGGCAGCATCCTGAAGTAGCCTTTCCGTGAAAGTCTCACATTCCTAAGGGCTTGTGTTACTTCTGTTGAGCACACAGGTGTATGATTCCCAGGGCTCCCTGGGCTCAACTGAAGGGCCAAGGAGCCAGGAGGGCAGGTCAGAAGCACCCCCCCACCTCTGCCATGGTCCCCATCACCCACCGTGGCTCTGAGGCCTGCAGCTGGTATCTCATGTCCTTATTAGGACTCGGCACACAGGCAGCCCCCCTGGCCCCCCATGTCCAGCAGAGCTCCCGGCTCCTACTGCATCTCTGCCCCAAATCATTGTCACATTCTGCCTGTGGTCCCATTTCCATAGCAACTCCTTGTGATGCCACCGAGGAGAGTGGGAGCTTCGGGAAGGTTTGGGGAGAAGGGAGCGGGAGGCCCATTCATTATCATGGAACGTGGCAGCTGGGTGCTCAGAGCAGAGCTGTGGGCATGGTTTGCCCAGCCAGCTCAGGTGGAGCTGGGCTCAGGGCTGCCAGCCAGGTGGTCTGGAGGCCTGCCCGGGATGGGGCTGCCCGGGCTGGCCTGGGCCTTGCTGACTTGTGCCAACCTACTGGGAGCCAGCTTGGGCAGCCACTCAGGGTACTCCTGCCTGGATACGCCTGGCTTGGAGGACCCAGGCCTGAGGAATGGCCCAGATTCTGGCCACCCCTCTGACCTGGGCTAGCATCACTATGTCTGGTCCTGTCCTCCAGGGTCAGCAGCCACTGGGAGGCACCCTTGGGATCTGCTGGCAGCAGGGAGTGTAATTTGGGGCTGGTGAACTGTGGAGCTAGGCAGGCCCTCTCTTACTGGGTTCACACTGCTGTGGTTCTGTTGTCAGGATGGGAAAGCCTGGGTGGACCCCGGAACCTACTCTGTGCCCGTTTCTCTGCCTCCTTCTCGGAGGAGAAGTGTGCAGCCTGTGAAACAAGACTTGCCTCTAGAGTGTTCCTCCATGTTTACCTACCATGTAGCTAGAAATTACACTTTTGCATCTTAGACTTGATGGAATGTTGACTTTGGAAGGGACTCAGAGGCCTTTGCCATCTTCTGCTTACGTTATGACAACCACCTCCAAGATGCATTCATCCACACTTCTATCCATCCTGTCTGGAAGGCCTTATGAGTCTCCCTGGGGGTCCAGGCCTGTGTTGTACGGTGCCATACAGGGAATTAAGAGGAAAAGGGGAGGCTGACCTCGCCTGTCAGAGAAGAAGGGAACTGTTAACACTTATGAGGGCTGCTGGCAGCCAGGCCCTGTGAGATGCTGACTGTCTGTGTTTCCCTTTCACCATTGCAGTTATAGCCACCTCTGGGTGCCACCTGCACTTGCATTTTCTTAATCTTTGTCTTTGTGTTGACTCACATTTGAAGGTGGATTACCCAGTGCTCCCCACGCCACACATCCATAAAATCACAGCTGTGATATGCTTGTCATTGGAAAAATAAACACCTATGAAAATAAAATTGTTTGCATACCACCTAGAATCCCCTTATGCACCCCTGTGGCATGTGTCCCACACTTTGAGAAACACTGATTGGATTGGAACCTCTTGGCAATAGCTCAGAAAGGGACTTGGGTCTTTTTCTTAGAGGATCAGATGGTTAGAGAGCATCACCAAATCAATGGACATGAACTTGGGCAAACTCTGGGAGATAGTGAGGGACAGGGAGGCCTGGCGTGCTGCAGTTCATGGGGTCACAGAGTCGGATATGTCTTAGCGACTGAACAACAGCTGAGAGGTTGAGGAAACTGAGGCTGGGAGAGAGAGTCGGACCCAGGGACATGCAGGCAGCGAGTGAGAGAGCTGGGAGCCGACCTTTCTCCTCGGACTTGCAGCCCCAGGCCTGTGTTTTGGGGCCTTGCCAAGGGGATACGACTCCCTAGTGTCAACCCTACTCATGGAGGGTGGGGGGACTGGGACCCAAGCTGCCCTGGGAGAAGGTTTGGTGAAGGAGTAAACCAGTAGAGGCAGGGGAAGGAAGGGGGGAGAGGGCACCTTGGGAACCAGGAAGCCGGGGCTCAGGCCTGGGGAGAGGCACCCCTGGGGCTCTGCAGAACCCGCTCTCAGGGACCAACCCAGGCCTGCCTCCTGGAGCCAGGCTGGGAAGGAAGGCAGTCCCTGGTATCGGCTGAGCACCTACATGCCCCCGTTTGTCCATCTCTTGTCTCCTTTTATCTTCCCAGCAGCCCTGGCTGGAGAGATGGTATCCCCATTTTATGGATGAGAGAAGTGAGGCTCAGAGACGACTTTCCCCAGGTCACAGAGCTGGTGGGTTGGGGAGGCATATCCAGATACCCGCCTCTCTGCCTGCTGCCAGGAACCCCACCACTCCCAGAGCCCCACTGCCCAAGCTGGTGGCCTGTGAGGGTATGTGAGTGTCAATGAGTGAGCGTGCATGTGGGTGTAAGTGCCAGTGATATGTAAGTGTCTCAGAGATTAAGTGCAATATATACAGATGAAAGCATGTGTGTGTGTGTGTATAAGCGCGTGTGCAAATGAGTGAGAACACATGCAAGTGTGTATGTAAGTGTGTCAAGAAGAGGGAGAGAGAGTCTGTGTGTGAGATGTATGAGTGTTAATTGCCCAGCCTAGTGGGATCAGGCCCTCTGTGTGCATGGCCCCCCACTGCCCCCCAGAACCGTCCTGTGCTGCCTGCGCTCTCCTCTGGCTGATGGTTTGACTTTTTCTCCCACAGCCTCCTGCCCTCACAGGCCCTGAGGCCCCCGTGCCCACAGGCAAAGGGAGAGATCGCCAGTCCCCCTCCCAGCTGCACTCCCTACAAGCCCGCCTGACCTGAGGTAAGAGGCTGCTCTTGGGCTGCTGGGAGGTGAGGGTGGGCCATGGAGGGTGGATGTGGGTGTCCCCGAGGGAGCGGCTATGGGCAGGCCATCGCGGGGGGTTCCCATCTCCCATCTTCTTGGGGGGTTCCCATCTCCCACCTTGGCCTGAACTCAAGTCCAGGAGGGTTGCTGTGGCCGTGGGCGTCCCACTAGTCCGGGCTGTGGCAGGGCACCGGCCGCCCGCTCAGAAGCCTGGGGCGTTCTTCTGAGCGACGCGGTTTCCTGGACGTGCCGGCTGTCGGGTTCCGTGTGCTGTGGGAGGTCTCTCGGGGTGAGCTGACGGGCTCTGTCCTTGGTTCTGTCACATTGTTGATCAAACGTGTGCATGACTCCAGGTCAGGTGGGAGTGGGAACGTGTGGACTGAGACAGTCAGGGTCCAAGGAACTGTCAGGAGGCTGGCACTGGCTCCGACGCGGGGAATTTCACGGGGCTCCGAGCCAGAGTAAACGTGTGAGTCCTGACACCTTCAAGGCTGGAGGCGGCTCAGCCCCAGGTGTGCGCGTGTGACAGGCACTGGCAGCCAGGTGACCTTGCCGCTCTCTGTGTGAGCGGAGCAGATGGCCTCTTGGACTCTATCATGAGGAGCAGGACACCCAGAACGTGGGAGGTGACAGTCCCCCGCCCCACCACTCTGGTCCTGTATGAACACAGGGAATGTGGAGAAGCCACAGCAAGTCCCGAAGAGGGGGTTGATGGGGAAGGGGGGACCTGGGTTGTTGCCTCGCTAGACTTGCCTGTGACCTTGAACAAGTGACTTCCACTCTTTTTCTGGGCTAATGCTTTGTTTTTGACAGGCCTCCGTGACTCATGAGAAGGTCTGCTAAACAGAAGGCGCGCTGGGGAAGAGCTGGGGGCAGCAGGCTGGGCTGGAACGTTAACCCAGTTTTTCAGAGGAAGGAGACCTAGCGGCCCCTTCTCCTGAAGGATTGGGTGACAGTTGTGATGTAGCCAAGGCTCATCCGATGCTGTCTTCCCCTTCAGGAAGCTGCAGGGTTTGGCAGGGAGCAGACAGCAGGATCTCCTTCCCGGGCCCTCCTCGTTTTGGAGTCCGGTTACCTCCATCAAGATATTCCTGCTAATCAGTCAGCCCTGGGTGGAATGAGCAGCTAATTAGCCCTCCAGTTTAACCTGTAATTGCTGCTGGGAGATGGGGAGAGAGCAGGTGGTCAGGATTCTCTGCAAAGCAGCCTGGGGTGATGGGAGAGCTGAGGGCAGTGATGGCAGGGAGGCGGTGGCTGGCCCCTGCCCCTACGCTCGTGGGGGGGCACCGCAGACCCCTCTATTGCCCCCCACTCCCCCCACTCCCCCACCCAGCTGCCCAGGCAACTGCATGAGCACTGGAAGCTCAGTGGGCAGGGAGTCGGGGAACTAACACAGAGTGGAGGCTGCTTTCTTGGTGGGGGGCTGGAGGGGCCTGGAGGAGGGGTGCCCGAGCTGAGCCTCGAAGGCTGTAGGATTCATTTAAAATGTTCTATTTTTCTGATAAATAAAGAAGCCTGCGTGTTCTCCATAGAAAATGTGAGCACTTGGGTGTTCTGCCCGTCAGTCTTTTACAAAATATGTATTTATATCATAATTGGGATCAAACTGTACTTACTGTTTTCTAACCTGCCTTTTGCACTTAATACTATGCCAAGATCATTTTCCCACCATTAAATACTGTTCTGGAATGTGATTTTTAATGGCAGCGTAATGTTCCAGCCCGGCTGTGCCGTTGCATGTTTAACCAATTCTCTGTAGTAGAGTTTGATTGTTTTCCTTGGTGTGTCATCGTAAATAATGCTGCGTGAACAAGATGATGTATGTGGAGCTGTGATGGGTGGAAAAGGTTTGGGGGAGGAGGGAGGACCCAGGCTAAGCAGAGGTATAGAGATGGAGACTTTGGAGTATTTGTGGAGTGAGGTGCCCAGGAAGGGGGGCCAGACTGGTTACCGGGAGCCTTTGAGGCCTGCTGAGGAGTTGAGACTTGACTCAGCCAAGCCCTGGAGGGAGCCCAGGTCTTTCTTTCCTGTCTCCTGCCTCCTCCAGCCTGTTCCTCCAGCGCTCCTGTGGCCTGGGGGGTGGGGGGGTGGTTGATGGGGTAGGGGAAGGGCAGGTGAAACTGGGGGGCCCAGGTGCCATAGCCCTTGACTTCTCGCCTTCTGGTGGGGTCAATGACATTTAAATCAAGCCTCTCTCTCTGTGGCCAGCCCTGCCCAGGTCTCCTTGCAGGAGGGGCACATCCACCACCTTTGGACACTTACTGACTCCTGAATCAGTGCCACTGGTCACACAGGCCTCCCTTCTGCCCCTGCCTACGTGGAGAGTGGGAGGTGACCCATGTCCTTGGAGAGCCGGGGAAGGAGGCTGGGGGTAGGTGTCTCTTCCAGAAAGCCTCCCTGGCCTCTGGGCCCATCGGGTGGCCCTTCCCTGTGCACATGTGCTCACCCCAGCAGTGCTCGCACGCTGGGCGGATGACCCATGGGCGTGGCTCCTGGGATGATCTTTGCTTGCAGCTCCCAGGCTCCTCTCCAGTTGCTGCGCACAGGCATAGCTGAAGGGCGGATTCTCAACCACTCCTTTTGTTCATTTTCATCGTTCACATTGCAGACATTTCCTAAGTGAAGCTGTTTGGTAGGGTCTGTGTTGTCCCGGGGACCCAGAGATGAGCTAGTCATGGCCCTGATCCTCAAGGAGCACACAGGCCATGGAGGGGGGCTGGCGGGTGAAGGTGGCCCTTTGGATTACGCCCTCTGGGGTCAGATTGCCTGGAATCCAGTCCCAGCTCTGCCTCTCACTAATGATGTAAATTCAGGCCATTTCCTTACGCTTTCCAGGCCTCAGTCTCTTCCTCAGTAAACAGGGAATGTAACAGCATTGACTTTGTGTGGATTAAGTTGGTTGGTGCACGTAAGGGCTTAGAGCAACGTCTGGCACATAGTAAATGCTCAGTTAAGTGTAGTCATCTGCTATAGGACAGTGTGACCGAGGATAGAAGAGAGGGTGGTGGGAGATGTGCATCAAGAGTCAGGCTCTGGGAAGCCGACAGACATGGTCGACCCCCCCGTCTGGGTGCCCTGTCATCCCTTGATCCCCTCAGCCATCTGCCACCCTTTCTGTGGGTGGTGATGGGGGGATGGAGCAGGCACGCCCAAAGGGAAAGGCTCGAGGCCTTCACACAGGCCTTCATATGTCTTAGGTGGGGGTCTGTGGTGTCTGTGCAAACTGGCAGGGGCCAGCTGCCACTTGTCTCTGCCGCCTTGGATGCTGGCACTGTTGGGGATGGGGTGCCCCAGGGTGTTTGGCTTTGTCTGGCTTTGTTTCTAGTCCATAGTTTTCATAGGTTTCGGGGGAGAGGAGGTGGTGGGGAATCAAAATTAAAATTCTTCTTTGAGAAGTTAACAACTTCCCAATTAAAGGATTCTTATTTGTGTGATGCCTCAGAGGCCTTTTCAATCAAGAGGCTCTTCTGAATAATAAAAGTGCTTGAGCTGGGCTTGGAGAGACACAGAATGGAGCCTGAGCTGCAGACAAGAGAGTGGGGGACACCGAAGATGGGCACCCACAGCCTTGAGAATGATGTTTGTGTGTGATGGGGTGGGCTGCATCTCCTTTCTGCTCACCAGTGGAGGGGGGGGGGGTTTGGCATGCGGAAGGCAAAGAGCAGGGAAGTGTCTTTACTTCCACCCCTTTAGCCTTTAAGCCTTTCTGACTCTTGCCTGAACCCTACACCCTGGTGCCTTCTATGGGAACCCTCTGTCATCATCTCTCAGGCCAGGATGGAACTGGGAGGAGGCTGGGATGTGGTGATGACAGTTTGTAACCATGCCCATGGCCTGAGCTTGTGCTCAGGAGCGGACAGTCTGCATAGGGGGCAGTACCTCTTGGCTTCTGAGACCCTAGGCTCCCTGGTGACGTGCTGGGTGTGGTTTTGTAACTGTTGGGTGGGCGTGTCCACCTGCCTTCCAGCCTGGACCCTGGACTCAATGCTACCCAGCTGATTTCCTGGGAGACCGGGTCTGTCCTGCTTGGATCTGAGTGTCTGCTGGGTGGCCCAGGAGAGCTGCCTCCTCAGATCCTGCCGGGATAAGCCAACCTAGCCTCCCTGAGTGTCTGGAATGTGGAAGCTTCTATTACCTGAGCCCCTCTTGCAGATGAGGGAGTAGTGAAGTGACCCCTAGATGCAGAGAGGGGTTCTTGCTAAGAGAGGCTTCTCTTCCCACGGCCCCCTGGGGCCTTCTAGGTGACTGAGCTAAGAGGAGCTGGAGGAGACACAGGGCAAGCCTCTCCCCTCAATGGGCAGTCCAGGCCTTTTCTCCAGGCCCCACAGGGTCCGCCCCTGGGAGCTGTCAAGGTCATTTGAGGAGACCCTTCGTGGTGGGCCCGCAGTCCAGGCGGTGAGGAAGGTGGCGGGAGGGTTTCCAGCCTGCACCTGCTTTCCTACCCTCCCCCGATGTGTCCTACTTTCCGGGAGCCATCGCGGCGAGGCTGTCTGTGTCAACACCCGGAACCGTGAGAGCCAGGCCCCTCCAGAAGGCCAGCCGACTGTGCGGGTGATCCCCGGAGTGCCGGGTTTCGGCCGATAATTGGGAGCAGGTGATGTGCAGGCTGGGGACAGGGAGGGCCATCCCACAGCCTGGGGAGGGAAGGCACCAGGGTGGGCAGGCTCGTCTACAGACCCTGTCACAGGAGTCGTGATCAGGCGCTCTGACCAGGTTGGGAACTGAGAGACTTCGGATTTGAGTGCCAGTGCTGCGGCTTTGTGTGTGGCCTTGAGAAGTGATGCCACCTCTCGGGGCTATCTGTGCTTCCCGGTAGCACAGGTTCCAGTGGAATGGAGGGTCACATGGGGTAGCGTGTGTGAACTGCAGGGCTGGCGGGTCATGTCAGTGGAATGTGGATTTGTGGACTGTGTCATTTTTTTTTTTTTTTTGGCCGAGCCATGCAGCTTGTGGGATCTTATTTCCCTGATCAGGCA